CCATGCACATCCAACATTCTCGCCGTCCTTACTACCATCAGTGAAAACATCAGTATTTTCAGAAGTAATTCCCGGTCCAGTCCACAAACTTGTTGCAGGGTGTAACCAAGATTTACAGTCAGTGATTCTTTCTATTTTGTCTAGGGTCAGGTCTTTGTATCCTCTCTTTCCTTTTCTAATGTCATATAAGGTCGTTCGTTCTTCAATCTTCATTTGGATTGGCAACAGCCCTGCCAACAATATTGTGGCCTCGAATGATAGTGTACGATAGCCCTTACATATCTTAATCGCAATTAACCTCTGAAGCCTTTCCAACTTCACCAAATTTTTCTTACGTTCAACGGCCGGATGCCAGACATGCACAGCGTAGAGCATCTTAGGAAGTACAGCAGCTTCATAAATTTCCTTTAACACTTCCGATCTGAGTCCCCATGTCGCTCTTGCAGCCACTGATAGTCCATTTATAATCCTTAAAGTGTTGTCATATAGATTATCTATATGTCTGTTCCAATTCAGTTTTCTGTCAAAGAGAAGCCCCAAATATGATAATGTATCACATTGCGTTATTCTTACTGTATTGAGTCGAATATCCAATTCTGGTACAATTCTCTTTTTTGTGAAAATTATATATTTTGTCTTGTCTAGATTAAATTTAAGTTTGTTGCGTCTAGTCCATCGTCTCAGCCTTGATAATGTTATGTTTGCTATTGTCTGTAATTCATCGAAATCTCTTCGTTTTATAAGTAATAATAAATCGTCTGCGTATACTAATAATGTTGAATTTTCCTGTAGGTCTATTTCGAAAACAGTATTGATTAAGATGTTCCATAGTATAGGTGATAGTGCTGATCCTTGAGGAGTTCCTAGCGTCAATTTCTTGTCAATATAATGAAAGTTTGTTTGGATTGCAAGTTTTCTGTCAGAAAAATAATTTTGAATGATTTTGTATATGTTTTTTGGACATTTATATTTCTTTAGATTATTTAAAATCGCAGGCCACCAGGCGTTGTCAAAGGCACCCGCGATATCCAAAGAAACAACCAGTAAATTACTATTTTGCCGGAGTGTACTGGTGATATGGTCGTTCAATTCACTGAGTGCATCGTCAGTTCCTGATTGGGGTCTGAATCCAAATTGGTGTCGGTGGAGTATATTGTTACTAAGTAGATGATGCATTAATCTATTTTTTATTATTTTTTCATAAATTCTACTCATTACAGGAAGCATACTTAGTGGTCTCAGTGAAAATGAATTAGCCTTAGGAATCAATGTTAATTTACCCACCTTCCAACTTTTAGGAAATTCATTTCTTTTGAATAAGGTTTTATAAAGTCCAGTTATCAATTTTGGAAAGGAGTCAGCTATCTTTTTTATCATTCTTGGGTCAATTTTGTCTACTCCTGGTGCTTTCTTGTCATCCAATTTATTAATAACTTGTAATATTTCAAAATCCCGGATATTAGTGTCATCGTCATTATTAGGCGGGATAAGTATTTCTGTTCTCATTTGTCTGTGTTCGTTAGTGTCATCACTTGTATTGTCATCTTTGATTATCTTATTTAATATATGAGATAATGTATTCTTAGTGTCTGTTGTGTATGTTCCTAGTTCATTCAAAGTGGTAGTGAGTAAAGTTTGAGGTTTTATTTTATTGGATACAAACTTATATGGCCATTGCCACGCCTTTGATGCAGTAGCAAATGTCTTCCAGGACTTTAATTTGGAATTTTTAATTAGCTTTTGATATGCCTGCCTACTTTTGAGATAGATCACTCTCCTTGATTCCCTTAGTCCATCGTCTTTTGTCCGCTGGTAATTTCTTCTTAGATGATTTGTCTCTTTACGCAAGCCAGTTAGTTCAGGGTTCCACCAAGGTACTGATCTTTTTCTAGTTCGACCTTTGAAATGGCCGGATAGTGTATATATATACCGATTTATATATATCGGTAGTGTATATATATACCGATTTATATATAACTGCTAAAAAAAGAAGCAAACTAGTGATATAATTGCATCAATAATAAGATTGGAAAAAAGTATATTAATTTAGGGTGCTCATGTATTACACATATTGTAATATTTATTAGAATTATTCTAGTTAAAAATTGCATTTATAAAATATATGAATTTATGGATGGGAGAAATTTTTTTTTTTTTTTAAATTGATAGTTAAATGGAATCAAACTGTTTTAAAGGCTGTTCAAATCCCGGACTATCCTTAGCATTACAGATAATGATAAACCACAAATATTTGAAACTGTTATAATTATAGAACGGCTATAAAAAAAAAACAGTTTGATGTTTTTAGAACCCCGATAGACAAGATGACACTGCACTTACGCAAGACTGAACCCTAGCGGTCGTCCGTTAGCGAGGATAATCAAACTGCCAACATCCCCCATTGTGTTTTATTTTCCCAATATCATTCTCCATGATAAAAAATATTAATTTTGTAAACCGTTAATTTAATTATTCAACTATTAGTAACGTTAAAAAAAAAAAAACTCAATATTAAAGTGTTTTAATATTGTGTTCTTCAATATATTAAGGGATCCAAAATTTTATTTTTGATAAAAAGTATATATTTTGGTTAAACCTTTCAACATAATACAAAATAGTAGAAAAAAATATATATTAATCGGTTTATGTACATACCACTAGTAGTATATTTACAATATTGCATTCATATCTAATATAGATACTTGCTACAGTTAAAGACGTAACAGATTACAATAGTATATTTTTTAAGTAACTGCTCCAAACATAGGGACAATACAATATGAGCTAATATTAGCACTGTCCGAAGATCTGAAGCTGATCAACATAAACATATACATTATGTAACGCCCGACTAACGGGACTAACCTTCCCCCCTACAAAGAGAGGCCTTGCGGCACGAACGCTCTCATGATTGCTGTTACTTTGTCAAACTAATACAGAGAACTTCTTTGTCTCATACCAAATACTTTAAAATAAATATTTTTTAAATCTAAAAAACTATATCAGTTTTAGATTTATTAAAAAATTCCAATATTTAAAAATTAGATTCAGTTAAGATCGTTCTTTTTCGTAAGTTCAAGAAAATAGGAAAATATCCGGCCAACTTAAAGAGTATGAATTTCTTCAACTGTTGTTTTTATTTCTTTTTTATAACAATAATCAACAGTTTTGCATGTTAAATTTGATAAAAATCAATTATTTCTTTTTAAAATATATTTACGGGCACTTCATAAGCAGCTGCGGTTTGTGACTAAGCACACAGTGCCTCTAATTATTCTCAAAAGCTACAAAAATGAAAGTTTTGTGGATTTTTTAAATTATGAAAATCGATTTATTTTTTTTAAACAATAAGGAAAAATAATTTAAAAAATAAAAACCTGCATTAAAGTTAACATTATGGAGGTTGGTGAAGAACACTTTGTTTTGTTGCTAAGTCAAGGCTGAAGCAACCCTCAGATACCACAATTTATTTCAAACATAACTAGTGGTCACGTGGAGCACATATTGTGACCTACCATGTGACTTTCCACTTAAGATGACACATCGGTGTGGAATGCCGTTGAGGGATAAAAGTTTCATAGCTATATATTTTATTTATTATTAATATATTTTATTTTTTTAGTGATTTGTCTGTTTATAATGATCATATGCTAGTTCAATTATCATATTTATTGATATTTTGAAGGATCCTTTAACAACAGAAATTTGAACAAAAATTTTGTTTCGTTTCAGATGAATCTCTGGAATCGATACGAAATTCACCAGCTGAGCAAAGGAAAATTACCGAACGCCTTGGTTTCAGAGAAGGCCAAGAAGTGCGCATCAACGACACAATGAGACTGAGAGCAAGAAACCAGAGGAAAGACGCCCGCGCTCCGTTCGAGAACAAGAAGAACGAAAGAGCGCTAAGCCCGGGACGACCCAGGCCTAAAGAGCCCCCTCCACCTCCCCCACCCCCTAGCAAAAAGGCTCCGCCACCGCCACCCCCGAGACAGATTTTCCCGTTCACCAAGGAGCAGATCGAGAAGCTTAACACCAATCGACAACCGGAGTTCATTCCCACCAAGATACTCACCATCGAACCGGATTACCAAAATACTAAACAAACCAAAGAGGAAAAACCGAAAAGAGCAACCACGCCGCCTCAGCTGGTTGGCGAGAGCTGTGTTCATGTCAACGGAGTCAAACTGAGTGTGCCTGCGCCGGAGCCTGATCCGAACGTGAACCGTACGATCGTCACAGTAGACAGTACGCCGGCCATAGACCTAACTACATCCATAACCATCAACGAACCACAGCCGCCAAAGAAGACTTCTGTAGTGATTGGAGAGCCCTTCGTGAACAAAGTAACCATCAACATTAACGGATCTGATGATCGAGTCAGTATAGACAGTAGGACAGAACCTATCACATCAAATGTCACAATCGGAGAAACGACAAGGATAATAGTCGAACAGGTGAAGACCAAGAGCGAACTAGAGATGGAAGCGTTAGTCAGGAAACAGGTCGATCCTGTCCAAGCTGCCAGGAACAACCTTATACCCCACATCTGTGGGAAGGAATCTTATGAAGAAGCTACGTCTGATATTGAAAAAACATGTTCCGAGTTGAGTTCAGATCAATCAAGCGATTCCTACAAGAGCGCTCTCGATTCATTTACCAAAGAGGATACAGATAACAATTCAGAGAGGCCGAGCTTGAACTACTTCTCTGAAAAAGACAAGTTGGAAGACGAAGTGGAAATCAGGGTAGGTGTGGAAGAATTTGAAGAAAACCATTATGAGACAATTAAAGACCCTATTTATGAAGAGATTTCTGAAGAACCCCCACCTTTGCCACTGTCACCTCCACCACCTCTGACGGAAATAGGCGATGAACACATACCAACCAAGTCCATCTTTGAAGGAGCCACCAAATATGATATAATTTCCTATCTCGTGGGTGCCAAGAGAAGGGGTATTGTCGGAGAGTCCTTAACGGAAGAGGAATCCTGCGACTCGATGTCTCCCAGTCATTCTAGAATCAGTTCCTTCGATCTTAGCAGCAGAATCAGCAATCTCAGCAATGCTAGTGATTCCAGTGAAGACTCTTGTACTCTCCTCTTGCCACCAACCGACGTTTCGTCTCTCCTTAATGAAAAGGTAAGTATACTTGTTCATTACAATTGAAATGTTCAAGTAATTATTTGTTTCATTAAACATATAAAATAATGCCGACATGTAAAAAAAATTTGATTTCTATTGATTGCAGATAAGGAAAGGATCTGCTGAAGTAGAGAGGAACGACTCTGGCGTCGGTTCAGAGACCAGTAGGAGTCGGTGGCAGCACCTGAGCGGTATTCGGGAGGATCAGCAACACTCTTGTGAAGACTGCGACCAGCCAGTGGAAACTCAAGTGACCCAAAGGCAATTATTTGTATTAACACTTTCAATAAATTATTTTGAAATTATTCATGAACTAATTTTAAATAAATGCCCTGCCCACAGTGGAGTAATGTTTGCTCCCCTGGTATGCCGGAAGTGTTCCAAACGAAGAACCGAAAGGAGGGAGATCATCACCGAGATCGTTGAGACAGAGGAGAAGTACGGTCGGGATCTGAGGATCATTCTGGAGGAGTTCTATCGGCCGATGCAAGTAGCTGGCCTGCTCACCTCGGAGCAACTGTCCGCCATATTCCTGAACACAGAGGAACTGCTTGAGCACAACTCCATCCTTGCTGAGAAATTGAGGGACGCCCTGGAGATCGCGGTTGAGCAGGGGGATGAGGATCTCCTCACAGTGAATGTTGGCAGCCTCTTCCTGGAAGCATCACCAATGCTGCACGCCTTTGAGAGTTATTGTACCCGACAGGTAAATTGTTAATTTGTCTTTACACTGGTATTAGTATTGTAGTGTTATAAATATTACTTTTAATGAGAAAAACAAGTGAAGGATGTCACTGCACTAAATCATTAGAGCATCTACTAGTGACCGGCTCATATTATTAATTGTTTCTGTATGCAGATTGGTATAAAATAGTAATGTGTTGTTTTTTAACTGTACATCCTATTAAAAAAATGTAGAAAATAAGATATAAAAGTAATTAAATGGCAGAACATTTTTAAGAGTTATTGGTTATAACGAAAATAAAAAATAGATAAAGTCAATTTTTGTTTTATAAGTTCAACTCAAACTATTTCTGATGGTTTTATTTGATAATGTTTAAGTTTAGTCATAAAACAAAATTATTAGAATCGGTTAAAATTGAAACTATGTTAGAATAATTATTTTTTTCTTGAATTTTTAAAAATGACAGATGCCCATCTTTGACATGAAACCACTCATAAAATTTATTTTTTAACTTACCAAATTCATGAAAAAAGAATATTTTGATTTAATACAGATCTTATAATAACTTTGCACACTAAAGACAAGCATATCATTGATATTTTAAATAGAAACTTAGATATTATGAAATGAAAATATAGGATAAATTTAAAAGAAATAAAAAATAACAAACAGGTAATTTGGACTACTGATCCTTCTTGCCTTGTCCTGATTCCTAATTTGAGATAGTCATCTTTTTCTAACCAGAATGAAATCTAAAAGTGGGAGTGTCAATGAAATATAAGTTGGAGGCTTGTAATAAGGCTGAAGTTAAAGATTTGGGTTTTGATGGTGGAATGGGTACAGTGTGTGAAGACAGCAATTGGTGGTATTGGCATAGAACCTTCGGGATCACACAGCCTTTTAATAGCTATAGAATTTTTAATGATTATGCAAGAATAATACACTTTTAAAAAATAATTTTTTTTTTTAATTATCAGTTGGTTATTAATGATTCATACAGTTATTTGTTAATTTAAACATGCATATTTTCTTATTGTAGGGATCAGCATCCATGCTCTTGACTAATCTTGAAAAAGAAAAGGAACTTTTAAGAATATTCTTAAGAGTATCTCAAATGGAAAACAGTGTTCTTCGGAGAATGAACCTCAATTCCTTTTTAATGGTAAGAAAATAACCAGTACGTTCATTTCTTGAAAAACAAATGTATATTAATATATAATCTCCAACTAAAACCTACAAAAAATAACAATCAAAAACTAATTTGATGATTATTAAACTGACCTTAAGGCATATAATTAAATGTGAAAAGATAAAAATAGTCATATTATTGCTTATGTTGATATATTATTATGGTAATTATGAATTTCTCTCTCTACATATACAGAGAATATTTTTATTCATTATAAAAAGAATTTCTTTATTATTTTTTACAACCCCAGTTTCATAGAAGTTTGCTCTTTGACCATATCTTGTTATATTTCCTTTTACTGTATCACAGATACTGTAAAAAAACATTAATCAGTAATATAATCAAGGTAATGGTATAATTCACCTTTTTCTCTTCATGTAACAAACAATAAATCAAAGAAATTTTAGCAGCTTGTTCAAATAAAAATTATTGTCACTATAAACTACCTACAGAATTCAGATTACTATGAACAGAATCAAAAACATTGATATTTTTTGTACAAAATATAATAGAATCCAGGAAATTCAAATCGTTGAATTTAATAATAAACAATTTTTATTATTACAAGAGCAATTTAGTTCATATGAATTTTACTTTATTTTGAAACAGGTTTCTTCCCTTGACAATGGTCTAAGGGTTGAAACATTGGTGTAAAATAAATAAATAATGTAGGACTATTGGGATCTAATGAGTGTTGTTGTTACTAATGGTGAAGTCCTATTTAAACTGTTTGAAATATATATATATTAATTCTGAAATATCATAACGTAACATTTCTGAGTAAGTATGTGACTTTATATACAAAATTAATGTTGAAAATTTGAAAACTTTATTAAATATATGAACATTAACATTAACAGCATTTGTCTCTTTGGTAGTAGGTAGTGATGCTGCCTACAAACCAAGGACCTGCAGGTTTGATTTCTGAGACCCCTGAGGAGTTTTACCTGAAGGGTCTGGAACAGGGTCCTATCAGCCTTTCAACAATAACTGAGTAGATAGTTGAATAAAGAAGTAGCAGCTTGGTCCATGTAAAGTTAATGTGAGGAAGGTGGCTGATAAAGCTCCATCATTACATTACCTATCGACAAGAAGTTTAATAGGTTTTGTCTTAAGGGATATTGAATAATGAATAATTGAAATATAGGGCATTATATTTGTGAAGAAACATTAATTTGTTCTACTTGAAGATCTCTCTGAATCAATGAATGCTAGGCTGGACAGAACAATGAACAGTTTTCTGAATTTTGCTCGATAGATGTCCCATAATGCATATTGGCTCTCATTATTCCACCACATTAAGTTGACAATAATTCTTAGACTCCTTCCATCTAAATGTCCATTCTCCTTCAGTATTTTTCAAATATTGATCCAATATTATCGATTATTTCCTATCACTCTAACTTCTAACTAGCTTCCAACCAGTCTAAAGTATTTAAAATGTGCTTTCAATTTCTGAAATTTCCTCTCAACCACTATCCCAACATTTTAAAATTCTTCCTTCTTTTCCATCCCTTGTTCCTTTTTTTAGAATAATTTTAATCTATGACAATGTTTCTTTTAGACATTTGCTCTTAAATCCATAATGAAGAGATATATAAATAATCTTATATTTGTATTGTAGGTTCCTGTGCAGAGGATAACTAAATACCCTCTTCTTCTCTCCCGTTTGTACAAAGTGACTCCAACGCACATAATTGGTAAAGAAGCAATTAAAGAAGCACAACATAATATAGAACTTCACCTTGAACACATTAATTATGTGAGAATTTATTAAATATAATAATTTAATATCCACTTTCATGAAACTGCTTTATATTGAATATAACTAATTATACTGACATTTTGTTACATATGATATTAATCAGAAAAAATATTCTTGATTGATAAATTTTCAAGTAAATCAGGTGACATAAAGCAAAATTGATTAGTATTTTGATAGGCAACTGTATGATTCAGTTCGACCAACTTAAGAGTAAAAAACCTACTTTGACTTACTAATAATAATATATCTGACTGTATATATTACAGATGTTAGCGTGATTTGACCACCAACAGCAGATGACAAGATAGCTTTAAGACCATGACTTATCGACAACACTTTGGTTCTTCACTGACTCTACAAATAACTACTTATCAACGCATGAGCCACCTCATGAGCTCAAACAGTACTACTTCTCTTTAATTGAAACTATTGACATAATTATAAATTACTCGTACCCAATGTATTTGTATCTATTGATGCATTCTCTTCTTCAACTGAGAATGCTTATCTTTAACTGAGTTCAGCTTTAAACAAAAATTCTACTTATTCCAATAATGAAGCAAATTAATTTGATATTAATAGACACTATAATTTTAATACTATCACACTGAACTAATAAAGAGAAAAATAAAATCAAACCTTAAGTTTTAATTAATGTTTACTTTATTACATATTAATTTTTATCAAGCAATAACAATTAACCTTTATTCTTTAAATTTAATATTAAAGTATTATTATTATTTGTTTTCTTCACAGAATAACCTATAAAAATACTGTTTATTTTCCTGTTTGTTACAATATTTCATATTCAAACATAATAGAAAGTCTATCAATTATGTAATATAATTTATTTTGCATAATTATGTTAATAATCAAATTTAATTCACTTCATATTCTTTAACCTCCGGGACAGAATTTTTCACCTTATTTGTAAGGTTTTAAGGTCATTAGCTACAAAGTACACAGGTAGAAGTTATTTTTCTTTTATGAGCTGTACATAAAAAACTTGTATTGTAATTATAAAATTATAAGTTATAATGCAACAAAGTTTTAATTAAATCGGAGTTATTAAGCAGTTTTAATTTTGAGCCCATTAATGACTAAACTGGAAATTAATGACTATATTGGGTTTTGATAATATTAAGTTGATTAATATTACTTTTCTTGTTTTATCACTTTTTATCTATAATTGCATTTATATTTATTTTTTATTGACTTTTAATACTCTGATGCTATCAAAGCAAGGAAAACCTATTTAGGTCTGTATGAACTTTCTCAATATCTAAGAGGCCTATATGCCTTAGATGAATAGTGGATGTAAAAAAACATTATAATATTTCCAAGAAACAGTATGATTTTCTGGCTAAAATCTTATAAAATTATTAGGAATAGGTAGGTCAATGGATGCATCCCTTTTGACTGACTTTTTCCAATTTCTTTAAAAATTTTGGAAAATGTAAAATGCTTCAAGATTAATGTATAGGAAATCTTATTGAAATATCACAATAGTACTTTAGCTATGGTACTGTATAACTGTCAACATTATTTTGTATCCATCAAGATAGGGAAAAAAAAACATGTGGAGGACATAAACTCACAAAAACTGTACCATAATGAGGACATGACTGAGAATCTTAGTGGGACAGACTTAGCAACTGTAAAGAGAACAGAAATCAATAAATTTTGATTGGACTTTGTAAAATGTAATTATTTAGATTATGAATACTGATCATACCCATACTAATTTTCTTTTAATTGCAGTTAGCAAAAGATATTAGCACAAATAAATTATGGAGGAGAATATCTATAACAAACGGGAGAAGAGGTAATGAAGAAACTGACATGACCAACATCAAACTCAGGAAGGTAATAACAACATTTTTTAAAATAAACATTTAACTTTTATTTTAACAACAAAGAGTAGTTACTTGCTGCTGAATAACACTTAATTTAGCCTGGGATTTAATTTAATCCATCCTAGTGTGGATGTAATATCTGCACCATGAATTGAAAAAATGTTTCATGGATTTCATATTAGTGCTAGAGAAAACAAATTATGGATCCACTTTATTCATGAGTTAACCCTATCAGACGACTTTATTCCTAAATTGGCAGATAGATTAGGGACTATCCATGACCGGGGATCCATAAATTTATATTTAATCCTAAACCAGCAACAAGAACTTAAAATCATTTATATTATAAAAATAAAATTATAAAAAATCTTATCAATTTATTTTGTTTTTAATTGTTAAATTTTTCCTCAAAATTTCAATTTAATGTTATAAAATTTCCATAAAAACATTAAATGCTTACTTACTATCAAGTGCTGATTTACAGGAGGAAGGATCCCCTTCCCAAAAAATGTTAAAATGTTACCATGCTTTATGGAAAAAAAAAATTATCTCTTTAAAGTATTGTTGTTCGAGTAGTTAAATTTAATATTACTTCAAGAATCACTCAAACAATATTCTGTATAGGTAGTTAGTATCTTTCTTTTTTTTCTAAAGTAATTATCATTGTATATATGAAAAAAAAAATTTCGTGCTGAAATTCCCCAAAATTTAATCCTGGATTCTTTAGTGCTTACTATAACATATTAATCCAAAAATAAAATAATTTTTAATCTGTAATAACAGATGTAATGATAATTCTCTACCTGTTAGACCACCTGGATTTTTACCAATGAGGAATTTTTTAATGGAACTTGTTATTTTAAATCAGATAGCGGTGGATGTTTTGGAATGGACGCATGAGGAAGTTAGATTTGCGATGGAAGGAAAGCTACTCTATACACAACCTACTGATGGGAATTGGAAGAGAAGAGCCACAATCAAACTGACACCTGTTAATGCACTGCTTGTTACCCTAGGAAAGGTATGTAGTTATATTAAAAAAAAAAAAATTATAAAAATTGATAAGTAATTTAAAATGAAATGTAGTGGTATACTCTCATTTATTGTTAGCTCAAATATAGCTGCAGAAAACTAAAGAGATAAATCAATAACGAAAATGCATATATAAAAACACAAAAATTATATATTTTTTATTATGTAAGAAAAATAAATCAGATAATTGCAAGTCGGAGATAGATAAAAATATTTATTATTAAACATTAACTATAAAATTAAAAATGAATTAAGATTTATTAAAAATTTATTAAATGTAAACAAAACATATAAAAAGTCTTTAAGTACACAATCAAAAGTTTTTAAGACACTAAAATTGTTGCTTTTACTTAATGAACTTTCAATTTTTATTGCATGAAAAAACAAAGATGTAATGTTTTATTTAACTTTTTGGTTTATATTTCTGACTATGTGCGAGGCCAAGAATAATTAGTAAACCCAAAATCATAAATTGCTATAAAATTGTTCTTACAGGCTTTTGCAGTGTGGCTGCCGAAAATTAAAAAATATATATACAAAGTTTCTCAGTTCTTAGTTACCAAACTCTGAGGAGTAATTCTGGAAAAAATTTCCAACAAAAAAGTTCATTTGATGCATGGGACGAATCCAAACAGAAAAGAAGTTAAAACCAATTTTGTGTTTTTCTTAAGGTGGTCACGTTTTTATTGAATAAGAAGCTATTGCTCAAAAACTGTTCAAGATAAGTAAATTCAAAGTACACCATCCTAAAGTAGACAAAATGTTTTTGAGAAAACAGTGATTAAATTTACTAAAGTTTATGATAGGAGTTTCAGGAGTTCTAATACGATCGCTGTGCTGTTCTTGTTAGAGTAACCATACACGAGCAGCATATCTCTGTATTCCCCATCATTACGCAGAAGTCATATTAGACCTCCTGAAAGTCCCTTTTACCATTGATCTTAATAAATTTAATTACTGTTTTCTCAAAGAAAATGATATCTATTTTACGAAGGTATAATTAATTATCTTGAATAGTTTTTGAGCAATTCGTTCTTATTCAATAAAAAACGTAACCTCCTTCAAGAAGATACAAAATTGGTCTCAGCTCATTTTCCCTTCTTGGCCCATGCATCAAATAAACTTTTTTGTTGGAAATTTTGTCTAGGATCACTCTCCCCTCATTCCTTTCCCCCAGAGTTTAGCCAATAATAACTAAGAAAACGTTTATAATTGGATGTTGTTGAAACATTCCAAAAACAAAAAATTAAGTCCCTTAAAACCATTAATTAATTAACCAGTCGCTGTTAAGCCAATTCTGAGGCACTATCGGAACAAAACTACAAAGAAATATAAGTGATACCTAGTGTTTTGAAATTTTAATCTTTGAAAGACCATTTCTCTTGAACTGTTAAATGTAAAGAGGATTCAAATTGAAGTGAATAGAATGTGCTACTAATTAGCTTATAATAATTATCTTTTGAGGTTTTTCCTTGATAGTTGTAAAAACAATTGAAAAATATTTGGAGAAAAAAAAAACACCATTTATTTTCAGCTATTGTAACTTTGGCGAACAACTTTTAATTGACTTAAAGTAAAATTATCTTCGAAAAAAGCAATTTTTAAAATGGCTCTTAAAAGGAGCCTTGCAGGAGTCATATTAATTTATAAAATATTAATAAGTAATGAAAATATCTGTATGTAATATAGATGATTAATATTAATGATTAAATAATCAGATCAGAATCTGTTATTTAATCACTAATAAAACAATAATTTCCTAATATTAATAAGTACTTTGATGAATTTTCCCTCTATGAAATGAGAACATTATGGATGTGGTGAAAATATTTGATTTGTTAACCGGTTTTTGTCATTTTGATAAACTAACTGTGTTATTTTAATCAAGAGATAAGGTTGAAATTCAGAAATGTACTTTAAAATTTAAACTTAATCAATGATGTACTTGAGTTATTTTTTGCAATAAATCGACAATTGTTGCATAAAAAAAAAATGGTTAGACAATAAAGAAAAAATTATTATTTTCAAAAGATGTAATGTTAAAGTAAAGTAAAAATGTTATAATCTATTACACACTAAAAAAAAAAATATTTTATAAATTTATTTTAAAAGATACTATCTAAATATTAAATTTTTGATCTTGCATTATTTTATTTTAATTTAGCCTAAATTTCAGAAAAAAAAAAATAAGTTTTAATCTTTTTGACTCAATTGCATATTAATTTAGTGCTTGATAAATTAAAAAAATTGCAGCGAATTTCAATTTTATTAATTTTCTTTTGGTATTGCTGAAAAATTTGATCTTGTCAGTCATGCCATTTATCAACATTAAAATTTAAAATGTGTTAATAGCCAACAGATGATTACCAACCAGATACGGATGACCCTCTTGTTTTTCCAAGACAAAATGGAATCAGGGATGCAACTCTAGTACTGATGAAAGAAAAGGGAGGAAGATATTCCTTGCTTAGGGTACGTCATTAATACAGATAGTTTTAAACAATTATTATATCTTTAAATGAAACCAAAGGGAAACAAAGCAATATAACTAAGAGCAAATATATTTAAATTATTAATTTTCATTGTATTTTATATCTATTTAAATTATTGTAAATATAGAATGTAGTACTTCCGTGATGGAGGTGAGGTGAACTTTCATAGATGTTTGGAAAGTGAGGTATCTTCTTAGGTTAATTCTTTTGGGTTTTCTTCTATTTTGTCTTCTTCTACAGAAATATTTGCTTTTTTGTTTACATTATTGAACCCCCTCTTGAGGTGTTTACATTTTTTTCTCATAGTATCAAGTGGTACAGCCATTCAGTAAGTTTTTTTCTGCTTCCCATGGGGTGCTGGTCTATCCACTCAATTACAGTCCTTATGGACTTGTAGAGGTGATCTCAATGGCTTTCTAGACTATTTAAAAAAAACAAAAAAACAGTGAGAACTTCAATATTTATTCACTGTATGATCACTCATTAATTAAGCCAATCATGTGATGATATATTGTAGCTACTATATTAAGTACTTGCTTCTGAAGGTCTTATTCTATCGCTCATGCTAATATGATATTTTACTTTATTATTTATTTTTTATTCAGCTTCCCTGTACTATACAATCATGTTCTTTTCTTAAACCCTTTTTGATTATAAATTTTGAAAACTGTAGCACTGGACTAAGACAGCAGGTATTACAATTGCACCATTTCTTCATCGAAAACAATAATTTAAGCTAGGCTTAGACTGTTTTTAAAGTAAATTGATTCTCAAAATTAGCAGACCCTTTAAGTGTTTAATGCTCTATAATCTAAATATAAATTAGTATTGATAAGATTTTAACCTACACAATTCTTAAAATCACATAACAAGTTGTTATTATTTGCAAATAAATAAAAATAGTCACCTACAATATCAAGATACTATGGCAGTAATAAAATTAATATTTATTTAATTTCTGATTCACTTTTTAGGAACCATTGTTTCTCGACCGATGCATAGTGTGTACAGAAGGAGATTTAGAAGATTATTTTGAAGTTCAAGAATTACCAACTAAAGATTCTTACATATTTAAGGTATGAAGTGATCGTTTAATATAATTCGTTAATTACTCATTAGTTAATTTTACAAGTTTTATGGATAATTTTAATAATTCGTACAGCAGGACAATAATTTTTTTTTTTATTTCTCAAGGAAAAATTCCACAAGAGTTTTCTAGGTTTTTATGGAATAAAAACATCCTCATTTACTTTAACAAAATATATATATAAAAAAATTATGAAACTCTTTTAAGTCAACCTAAATTTTAAAGATATTAAGGGCTCCTTCTAAAAGTAATATTCTTAAATTTTTTCAGGCTGATGATGGTGAGACTACAAAAAGGTGGTACAGACAACTCCAATACCATGCACAAGGAGTTGGTTCCTGGAGGAAACGAAGAAATGCTCTCGCCAATATTATGATTAATGGAATGATTAACAGATCGTGAAAGATGGTGTGAAAGAGAAGAGAAGCCCTGTTTCTCTATGAAACTTTTTTCTGTTGAATACTGTGATAGAAATGAATATTTGTAAAGTTATGTAATTAGCAAGTGTACAGGGATGTAAAGTGTACAATGAAGTGAAATGAAATCTAAAATTATTTCAAGTAGTCTGAGCGTGTATAGTTATAATAAATATATATAATTTTATAAATAAAATATCAAACTATTGTAAATAATTATAAATTAACAGTAAATATTAATTATTGAATAAACGGTCTTTTTTTATTTTTCAACCTACTTCATATCATACATAATTCTATCCACAATCATGAAAGCTGAATGGCTTGTAGAAGAAACATTGATTTGCAAAAAATCATCATAGACTAAAATGTAATATTATCTGTTACTAAAAAAATAAACATGTGTAATGACATTAATATAAATCAGCTAAATAAGAAAATATTAATAACGTGTTGAATCAAATAGAGATAGGGTGTCTTTATTACCTTTTTTATTTTGTTTACTCTGGAATTTTGGCATACTATCTATTATGTTCTCAAAGTACAGCCAAACCTATTCTGACCAGAGTAGGAAGTTTGAGATTCATTCAGTAGCTTCACCACAAAATAATGTACAATCTGCAAAATGTCAACAATTTTTTCCAGATTCGAACTGGTGTCACTAGGCTTGAGAATGTTAATGTTTATGATTTAATATGCTCGGTCATCATAACTTCATTGGAAGAGGGGTTGTAGATATAATCTAGTAAAATTTTTATCAGTAAATATTCATCTTAACTGAAGTGACCAATTCAAATGCTTAATTTCAATTAAAATCCCTTCCCTCCTACAAAAAATGTACAGAGTAACTTAAGTCAATAAAATTTGAGGATGGAAAATTATAAGAAAACAAAGAGGGTGGATGATACCTGTCAACCATGCACCCACTGGAGAGTTAATTATAACCAAAAGGGATTAGGAGATACTTATTAAAATTTTTCTTAATTGATAATTATGCTTTTGGACTATGCAACAGTTTCATTTTATGACTATATTTTAAATAGTTCCATTCCATTTAAATATTGCTACTGTCAAGGTATCAAAATAACAGTGATTAATATTTAATAATCAAAAGCCATTGACTGATACACCATTATCTGATAGCACTTTTTTTTTTTTTCTCAATTTTTCATTGATAAAAGTGTGGGTTATAGTTCAACAGTTGTTACAATAGTTTTTATCTTAGAGGTTATTCCTATAAGAGCAATGGTAAGTATATCAATTTTGAATGTTCTGTTTTAATGTTGAAGTATAGAAGGTATTAGAGGAAAAAGGTGCTCAAAAGGGATAGATAACTTTGTTAGCGGGGAAAATAAATTAAATGATTGATCTTTATAACGATGAATTAAAAAGAATAACATGGCTTTCAGTAGTGTGGGCAAGTTTCGATCCTATGGCTAAGTACCTATAAAAGTCTGGTGCAGTTCTTTATTATTTTAATTATTTATTGTTGCGGTTAAGAAATATAAGTTTTGGAGCCCATTGTGCAATCGTTTTTTGAATTCTAAAAGATACAACAGCAATCTTAGAAACGGGCGAAGGAAATAAAAAAAAATAGTGTTATGTTATAAGAAATGGTACAAGAATATCCCTATGCAGTTCTATACTAAAATTAATAATAATACAATTAATTTTAATTTAAAAGGATTTTAAAAAATGTAATAATCACATGAGTAGTAGAGAGAGATTAAATGTAAATGTTTCATATTTTTTAATAATTTATATTTACCTTATTTTTATTTCAGTGTCATTGCTGTACTATATTAAAAGGAAATATAAATGATGTATTCATTTTTTTCATTCAATAATTTGTAAGTAAATAAACAGAAAATATCTTTTAAATTAAAAGGAAATATAAAAGATGTATTCATTTTTTCATTCAATAATTTGTAAGTAAATAAACAGAAAATATCTTTTAAAATCATTTATTTCAACAAAGTATATTCATGATATAGAAGGGTTACATTTAACTACAATATCATTTGTTATCATGTTAAAAGATTTCAAAGTATAGGATGCCTCAATAATATTGCAATAAATAAATTGCTAAGAAACTCATCAAACATTTATTCATACAGAAATTAGGATTTTAGTGTGTCACAAGGATTTTACTAGAAATACAAATAATTTCATGAGCCAAATAATTTAGAGTAGTCTACTTGATCATTATTCAGTCACTTAATCATTAGAGTTAACTAGTTTTAAAAATGAGTAATTCACTTAAATTTTATACAGAAATTTTGATTCTAAAAAGTAAATTAAAAAAAAATTTTCAAGAGGTGGGAGTATGGGATAGAAGAGGTTTGAAGCTCCACAAAACCTATCCTCTGCCCAAGACTGACCCCTTGGCCATAAATATTTACAGAAACAAAAAAAAAAATAATAATAATAATTTACAATGTTAGTATAAACAACCTGTATATTTTAAGGAAATTAATAGTCTAAATCTAATGATGAATTTCTTCTCATTGTTAGTTTTATTTAGTTTAGAGATTTCAATATTTTTGAAACGTTTATTTTCTTTTATAATTTTATGTTATGTTACATTTTATATTGATGTTTTGGGAAAATGTCCCTCACTATCAGAACATTTTTTTTTTCCAAAAAGTTCATTTATTCACCTATTTAAACTAGAAAAGAAATAAAATTATCTCTGTATTTATAAATATTTTATTGAATGTTATTTTTCTTTCGCTAATTTAATATATAATATATTTACCATTATTCTTGAGGCTACTGCTGTCATTAAATAAGATACATATAAAATGTTGCTTTGTTTTAATGTATTTTCAAATCAGAAAGTAATTTTAAATTTATACTCATATAAAGTTCTAGGTATTTTATTTGCTTCCATACTTTCATAATTATTTCTTCATGAATTTTATATTTCAAGGCAATTATCTTCATCTTCAACACCATTTTTATTTATTTTTTTTTTTTTATTTTTAATAAATTTAGTGAGCAATAATATTTTTAAAAATATTAAAACTGTATACACTTTAACTATAATGGAAAATGATTTATCCTTTTGCCTTAAAATTGACAAGGCATCATATCTTAGCTATTATAATATAAAAATTTATATTAGGAATATTAGAAATTATAGTTTAAATGTATATTCACATATATTTTCTTGTTCTAATATATTGTTCACTAATTTTATAAAATAATGGTTCTGAAGATGAGAATATTTATCCCAAAATGTTAACCATCATGTAATTATCAACCAAAAATAATTATGAAAGTATAAAAGTTAATTAAAATGGACTTATATTTCTATAAATTTAGACCTTATATTATTTTTTTTTTAAACATAATTTGTTATTTTATTAATAATGTACTTGTTATAAGCAAATAAAAAAATGAAAAAATAAAAATAAATTAGCTGGGAGAAAGTCATCTATCCAAGAATGAAGGCACTTGTCTCATTATAAAAATTGTAGTTTATTGGGTTGGCAAATAAGTCCTTTCGGTTTTTCTGTTTATTTTTATGCCACTATGATACACTTCTTATCTGATGAATTAATCCCAAAGATTGATTGTTTATCATGTTTGTAATATTTCAACAACTATATCTGTTAACTCTTGTTGAAACTAGCTTAGTATTGTGTTAGCTATTGCACTGTGAAAATGGAAGAAAATATCATTCATTATCAGCATATTTTTTTGTATTATTTTAAAAAGAGTAAGTGTGCTGTAGAAACTCATAGAAAAATTTGCAGTATTTATGGAGATGATGCCTTAACCGAACGCACCTGTCACAATTGCTTTGCCACATTTCATTCTGGAAATTTTGACATCAATGATGCTCAATGGTCTGGTCTCCCATATGAAATTGAAACGAGCAATGTTAAGGCCATTGTTGTCAAAATCCCACCCAATCAGTGCGAGAGATTGCTATGGCCCTAAATATGTCATACAGAAAGCCATTTGCACAAGTCCGGCTATGTTTCCAGGCATAATGTTTGGGTCCCTCATTCTCTAACTAACTAAAGCCAACTTGGTGACACACATTTATGTTTGTGATTCACTATGAAAACGACAACAAAACGACCTATTTTTGAAAAGGTTGGTTACAGGGGATGAAAAATGGATATTTTACGATAATGTAGTCCACAGAAAATCTTAGGGAAGCATGTCAAAACCCGGATTGTATCCAAAGAAGATAATGCTTTCCATATGGTGAGATCTCAAGGATGTCATTTTCTATGAGCTACTGCCATCAGGAAAAACAATCAATTCAACACTATACTGCTCACAATTAACAAAATTGGATCAATCAATTAAAAATAAACGCCCAGAACAAGCAAATGGAGAACATCCTGCAGAGTTATGAATGATCGGAAGGGTGTTGTGTTCGACCAAGATAAGGCTAGGCCACACACCTAATTGGTCATTCATAATAAATTATTGAGCCTGGGACCTTTTGCTCCACGCTTCCTAATCAACAGACCTAGCTCCAAGTGTCTACCACTTATTCCGGTCTCTGCAGATCCCCATGAATGAAAAGAAATTCCAAAAGGAAGAGGACATCAAAAACCACTTGGATAAGTTTTTTAACAATAAACTCCAGATATTCTATGAATATGGCATTATGCAGTTAGTGGAAAGAAGGGAAAAAGTCATATTAAATAATGGTCAACATATTGTAGATTAAAATAAATTTTATGTCTATAATACATTGAGTTTTATTTCAACCTGAAAAGCCGAAAGGACTTATTTTTCAATCCAATACTTTTTTTCTTGATTTGAAAGATCTTCTCAAATGAAACCTAACCAAATATATTGTCTTTTCCAAAAATTCATAGTTCTGTAAACATGTGTATCCCTCAAAAATTCATAACCTTGTAAAAATGTGCCTCCTCAAAAATTTTCAAGGTGCAACTAGTGCTATGTGACATCTTTCTGGGCACCTCAGGAAATAATTTATAGATGTGTATGGGACTG